GGAGCTCTGCTCAGCCACAAGCCAAGCCTCTCCCACCTCCTCGGCAGCACTAAGAACATCCGGCAGATGGCTTAGGCCTGCTGCCATTAGTCGGACATCCCCCAAGGGCTCCCAAGCTGCCAGAGGGTTGTCTGCCAGCTTAGGCCCGATCCCCCAGGGAGCAGGCCTAAGCCGGCAGGTGGACATCCCCCAAGGAGTCCTGAACTGTGCGAGGGCACAGGTCCTGTTGAGGGACACTGGGCCTCTAGTATCTAATAAAAGATCTTTCAGTTTCTTCTTTAAACCCTTCATTTTTAGAAAGTTTTCCTTTAACTTGTATCCATTGGTTCTAGTGCTATCTTTGGAATAGAGAATAAACCCACCAGCAGAGCTTTAAAAGCATTTTATAACAGCTACTATGTTTCATTTCAAAATGATCTCTTCTAAGCTAAACATTCCATCAAACACTAAGAAACTATTATGAGAAATAAGATAACATATATGAAACATATTGTGGGACGTGATATATATGTATTCAGCAATGATAATTACTATTACCACATACTGATACACCTTTACTTCCAAACAAGCTTCCCATCACTTTCCATTAAAAGGTCACATCACAGCCAAAGCCGGTTTGGCTCAGTGGTAGGGCGTCCGTCTGCGGACTGAAGGGTCCTGGGTTCGATTCCGGTCAAGGGCATGTACCTTAGTTGCGGGCACATCCCCAGTGGGGGGAGTGCAGGAGGCAGCTAGTCGATGTTTCTCTCTCAACGACGTTTCTAGCTCTCTATCTCTCTCCCTTCCTCTCTGGCAAAAATCAATAAAATATATTTTTTTAAAAAAAAGATCACATCACAGAGCTGCTTCATCCTGATTCAAATTAGACTTTATTCCTAATTCTTCTAAACTCTCAATACTTTTTCAAGCCAACTTTATACTTGACCTTAGATTTCTTCTGTATCAAATTAAAGTGCATACACATTTCATTCAATTCCCTTCTATTAATCTAATCTCCAAACTTCCCTCCTGGGAAACACACTCCACAAATGCCAATTAGACCTTTTTTGTTCAAGTTATATCTATACAGTGTCACAGATTTGGGCTGTTTATGAACCACTCTTCCCAAACACCTATTTTCTATATATCTTCAAGATCCAGCTAAGAGATCACTTCTTCCAGGATCTTTCTATGACCAATCCACCCACACCCCAGGCTGGGTTTGGCAATCTTCAAGCTTTCAAATTGGCACCCTGTGCATACCTTGAGAAAACACTTTCTGTTTTACACTGTTACCTGTGCCACTAATGTAAGGCTCTCTCATAGTTACTAAACTCCTGGTCTAGTACACAGTCAAGTTGTTCAAAAAATAAAAATAAAAGGCTTCTTCTCAATTCTTAAACAGCATACTAAATTTTAAGTATATCCAAATACACTCCAAATCACATCTTTAGGTCTTCTACTTAGGAAATTTTAGAGGATTTTAAGAAATCCTTTTAACCTCACCTAATAGCAAAAAATTTTTTAAATATACACCTTGAGCTGCTGTCACTATAACCACATCCTCTTTAAGAGAATACTACAAAGTCCATCAAAAGTGATGTCACAGCTGAAACCGGTTTGGCTCAGTGGATAGAGCATTGGCCTGGGGACTGAAAGGTCCCGGGTTCAGTTCCGGTCAAGGGCATGTACCTTGGTTGAGGGCACATCCCCAGTAGAGGGTGTGCAAGAGGCAGCTGATTGATGATTCTCTCATCGATGTTCCTAACTATCCCTCTCTATTCCTCTGTGTGAAAAGTCAATAAAAAAAAATATTTAAAAAAAAGTGATGTCACAGAATATGTAACAATTAGGGAAAGGTTCTAAGCAAACACAAGTTACAAATTGTATCTATAGTATACAACAAAGCAGACCACATGTCAGAAGTTTCAAGCCAGAGGGCTCTAATGCTGCAAGGTTCCATGATACTGAATTATATCATGTGACAGAAAGTCAGTAATAATGCTAGGCAAAAATGGCTATAATTTTGCTTCAGTGTGTTCTGCCAAGATACATGCCCAATCTCAAAACTTTGGAACAACTATGACATCATTTTCAGGATGAAGGTTAAGTATTTTCCTACATATAAATTACCATGCCCATTTGGCATGAAGATTTTTTGCAATCTTGTAAATAATACAAAGGCACACATACAAACACCAAACCTAAGAAGGCTATCTACTGCCCCAATGAGCTATGGGTCCCATTCTCATCAAACCTGTTTTGTCTTGGAAGCCTAGTAAAGACTAAAATAATAGTTTACAGTCACTTATGTAAGGATGTTAAAGAAAACAGTGGGCAACAGAGGAGTAAAGTAATACTGATAACAGACCTTCCTGAAAGCCCAATAAAGCTCTTACAGAAGCTAAACTAAAAAGTAATCTGACACATATAATCAAAGCTTTATATTTTTTTCCTGGTGGTTTGTTCCCCAACCTGAGAACAATTAAAATACGCCAAGGCCTTTATGGAATGATTTTTAAGAAAGATCCATTAGTTAACTTCATAAAGACCCTAAATATGATCATATTCACTATTAAAACATAAGACTGGTCAATTTCAAAATATGAATCTTACGCCTACTTATGAAGTTCAATTATCATGCACTGAACCACTCAAGTGAACTTAATACACATACATACTTGATTAAAAGTTTACATAAATTAACAGTCCTCTTGCTTCTTCATTTTTAAACCAGTTTCTCCATGGTTCTAACACATAATACCAGTTTATCTTAGTATCTACAGTTCTAAAGTTATTCCTGTCTCTGCTTTCCTGCTTTTAAATCACAAGATGCTTGCAGATGAAAGAAACTGATAGATATTATGCATGTTCCAAATGGTTAAACCAAGCACCTGGACACCCCTTCACATGTTAAAAATCTGTCATGCCACTACATGGTGCCAAAAGGTCACCCTTGTATCTCTAGAAATAGGTTATCTGTGAAATCTTTAGAGCCTTTCAGATGTCTGGCAAAAATAACCACTAAACTATCTTTTTCTACAAGATTATTGAAGATTTTAAGTTAAACTTTGGGGAAAATAAGAGTTTAAAAGACTAAAAAGGATAAAATTTCTGACAGCCAACTTTTTGTTAATCTGGCTCTATATCCCCAATACTTTTGGCATCACTGATGAGTGTATCTCCATTTATATGTCTGTACAAGTTAGAATATAAAACGGCAACCATTATACTTTAGTTGAACTACTACGCACTCTGATCCTATGTTAAGGAGGTGAAAAATCTACCAAAGAGCCCTCCTCCTACTGTTCAAATGATTAAGTTTTTATAGAGGCATAATAAATGCCTCGGTTGCTACTTCAAATATATAAGGTACCTATGAATTCATAACAAATTTAAGAAAAATATATTTACATAACTTGTTAGGTTTTGTTTTTATTTTTAATTAAATTTATTGGGGTAACTTTGGTTAATAAAATTATATAGGTTTCAGGTGTACAATACATTTATAATACATCTTCTGTATATTATATTGTGCATTCACCACCTCAAGTCAAGTCTCTTATCACCACATATTCTTACAACCTCTTCTACCTCCTTCCATCCCCACCCCTGGGGCTTATTTTGCATTTAAGGATAACTACTCAGGATTCTCAATCATTCATTTACAGATTTTTTTTTTAATATATTTTATTGATATTTTACAGAGAGGAAGGGAGAGAGAGAGCTAGAAACGTCGATGAGAGAAACATCGACCAGCTACCTCTTGCACACCCCCTACCGGGGATGTGCCCGCAACCAAGGTACATGCCCTTGACGGGAATCGAACCCGGGACCTTTCAGTCCGCAGACCGACGCTCTACCACTGAGCCAAACCGGTTTCGGCAGATTTTTTTTTTTTTTTTTAATTCCTCCTTGCCCATAATCTTTCTACCTATTTCCTACGTATTATGTATGTCTAAATCCCCATCAGTATTTTATATCCTTCTTTTATGGTCCTGAAGTTTACATTCATTCAGTACACAAGGACCAAGTAGCATTACCAATTCTTTAGTTTGTATCTATTCTCCATCACTCTAACAAGATTCCCACTTGTTACAAAGGAAATAAGAGAAAGCAACTCTTTAGAAATACAACAAAATGTTAGGAGCCAAAAGGTCAGTGCCTTTTGTGATTATCCACGTTTTATGAAATAAACATTTCACTTTTCCAATAGAAAAAAAGGTTTTGAAAAAAAGCAAGCAGAACATCAAAGATAACAGCAAGAAAGTTACGTTCTTAAAAACATCCACTTAATGGCCCAGTCAGCATGGCTCAGTGGTTGAGCATCAACCTATGAACCAAGAGGTCACAGAGTTCAATTCCAGGTACATGCCCAGGTTGCGAGCTCCATCCCTAGTGTGGAGTGTGCAGGTGGCAGACAATCAATGATTCTCTCATCATTGATGTTTCTATCTCTCCCTCTCCCTTCCTCTCTTAATTAAATAAAAAAATATATTATTTAAAACATCCACTTAACATTGCCAGTTGTCAGAAAGCAGGCTGAAAAATGATGGCAAAGCTTGGTGAGACACCAGCTCTTGGGGAGGGGGAAAACCACAGTACCCATTAAGCCAAAAGTTTATTACTACAGAACTTGTAACTTTTTTCTTTGCCTTATTACAGCCACAATCTTTTCCAAATTTAACTTACTTCCATAGTTTTATCACTTCAATCATTCCTTTGATTTCTTTCAGGCTCATTCTTCACCTCTTTCTACATCATATAAATTCATTTTCTATACATTGTTTTCCCTTAAGCACAGTTCTGTCCTCCATTAGTATTCCCACATTCCTTTACACTAAGGTTCAAGTAGTTAAGACCCAATTATACTCCCATAAAGGACTAAACTGTTATATGACACTCGTGTTATTTTTCCAGAGCTTTTATTAAAGCTTTTATTATTCAGTATAATACCTCTCCTGTTCTTTCTAGTTCCTTCTCCCCTTCCCTAAAAGTCTTAAGAATTGTAAGCGGATTACCTTTTTAACACTTTCTTCTTCCTCTTGGCGTTTCTCATAGTGTGAGAAGTCATCAAAAATGGAAGTGGTGTGCTTGTAGCCGGCTATGATTTTCAACACCTGCTTAGCCTTTTCCAGAGGCACTTCCTGAGTGTCCCTGGAGTTGGTCACTGGTTTATTCTCGTTGTTCTCTAGGCGAATGTGTCGCAGCTGGCTATTGGGAACGTCCTTCACAAAAATCCACCTGACATCAAAACGACCCTTCCATTTGTCCTGGGACCACACACCTGCACATGTGTTGTAGTCCACAGCAGATTTCATTTCCGCAACGCCACAGAAGTGTCCACTGCCGTTGACACTGAAAAGTAAGTAAACGGGGCCTTTCCCGTTCATGGAGCGATAAGCAGCATCCAGTCTCTTGTTACCATGCTCTGTGCTGCACCAGATATTATACTTAATGGAACGGTGGATATCGTCCTCAGAGTAGCTCTTAATGATGAAAACCCGGCCATGTTTCAGATTCCAGTCAAAATCCTTAGGGTTATAATTATTAATGGACCGTAGCTTCTCCAACACTGGGTGAGGTTCTGAAGGAGTAGATCCAGATCCAGCCTGAGACTGTCCTACTCCATTACCATCCACCCCGTTATGACCAAACCCACTGCCACGGTTCCGAGGTGCTACCCAGCGGGTTGGCTGAGCTGCCTGTTGCTGGACGGAGAGCTGGGCAGGCTGTGGTGGAGGTGGGGGCAATGGCTGTGTCTGTTGCCCTACTGATGCTTGAGCCACTGGTGGGCTATTGTTAGCCTGTTGACCAACAGGCTGGGGAGACCCCTGGGCTGGCTGCTGACCTATATTCTGAACCAAAGCCTGTGAGGGGGCTTTTGCCACAGGACCCTTGTTATCCCAAGTTCCAATATCCATGTTATGCTTTATCGGGGGTGGTGGAAGACTTGACCCTGCGATGCCATTCTTTGCCTTCAACTTAGGTTGCTGTTTAGCAGGCTTGCTAGCAATATCAGCCCAAGATGCTGGTTTTGGAGGAGCAATGGTAGCTGGAGGCAAACTATTAGAAGCCACAATGTTATTAGTAATGGACCCAGTACCAACAGCAGAGCCTACAACTTTTGGAACATTGCTTGCAACTTCTGTGCTACTCAACTTCAGTGCTGCCATCCCTTGGTCTATAGTATTCATGCCAGGAGCTTTATTGAGGGTCTCACTGGCGAAAGCAGACTGTCCATCAATCATGGCTCCACCTAAGGAGCTAGGTGCATAAGCATAATTGCTACTATATCCAGAGCTCTGAGTAGACTGTCCCTGAGAACTGCTATTTCCCCAAGCTGAGAAGTCAATACCACTGGGAAAGAAATTAAAACCATGCTGACCAAGAAACGGAGTGCTACCAAGGGCTCCTGGCTGTCCAAACATTGCATCTGGTAGGAAGTGAGGCTCTCCGTTGCTCAGTTGTCCATAAGAAGTTAGATAGGGCATGGCTGTGTCACCCCCAGTGGACCAAGCAGCTTCACCCAAAGAATAGGAGAAGCCAATGGAGGGACTGTAGTAACTGGGTAGGTAGGAATCTGACATGGCAGTATATGCATTATTCTGTGGAAGAAGAAAAAAACACAACTAAACTAAACACAAAAATAAACAATCAGGACATTTCCTTTCCCAAGTATTCATATAATTCAACTATTTCATCCACCACCATAAAAAAAGAGAGTGACCATTTCACATGGTCACATCTCAACAACTATTAAACTATTAAAACACCATCCTATAATAGGTAAAAACAGGACAAAAAGAATTGAAAATTTAAAGTTCTCTCCAAAAAATCTGTGTAGCCATTCCTCAGCCATAAACCAAAAAACAAGGTTCTGCAACTATATTTAAATAGCAATAGTGTCTGTGTGTCATGAAAACTTCTTAAATCTTATTAGTAAATATTTTAATGGTATGATTTTTGCATTCATAAATCCTGCACTTTATTCTGTTAAAATATTGGTGCATGAATTTATTTCCTTTTTTAAAATATATTTTTACTGATTTCAAATAGGAAGGGAGAGGGAGAGAAAGAAACATCAATGATGAGAGAATCATCAATCGGCTGCCTCTTTCACACTCCCTATTGGGGATCAAGCCCGCAATCTGCAACCTGGGCCAATGCCCTAACCAGGAATCAATCTGTGATCTGGTTACATAGGTCAATGCTCAACCACTGAGGCACACCAGCCAGGCTATTTTCAATTACCAAAGTATAACTGAATTTACTTATTCAAATTAATTAAATATATAAAGACATTTTGGTATGTGTCAAATAAGTTTGTGTTTTTAAAACACACACACACACAAACACGGTTGCCCTAGCCAGTTTGGCTCAGTGGGGCCTGCGGACTCAAGGGTCCCAGGTTCAATTCCGGTCAAGGGCATGTACCTTGCTTGGTTGTGGGCACATTCCCAGCGGAGGGTGTGCAAGAGGCAGCTGATTGATGTTTCTCTCTCATCGATGTTTCTAACTCTCTATCCCTCTCCCTTCCTCTCTGTAAAAAATCAATAAAATGTATTTTAAAAAACAAGGTTCACTACATCTAATTTACAGTGGTAGCCTCTTGGCAAACCATCTGGGAACATAAACAGATGTCACTATTTAATTATAACCTGGAAAGGAAATGTACAGTGGCTTCCAGAGAAAAAAACTAGAAAAATGTTGTTACCTGTTCTGCTTCTCTTATAAAATGAATAGCTATAATCTAAGATGCACATTGAATTTTTCCATTAAAAACAGAGAAGTATATCTCAGTCTGTGTGACACAGTGGTTGAGCATCAAACTATGAACCAGAAGGTCACTGTTTGATTCCCAATCAGGGACATGCCCAGTTGTGGGCTCCATCCCCAGAAGGGGGTGTTGCAGGAGGCAGATGATCAATGACATTTCTCTCTCACCAATATTTCTCTCTCTCCCCCCCCCCTCTCCTCTCACTCTGAAAATGAATTTTAAAAAACATATAAATTATACAGGAGTATAATTCGAAAGATACCATACAGTCCATTACTTTTAAAAAAGGAATTATCCTAAAGAAGAAACAAAAATATAAACTTATATGCAACTAGTCTTCACATTGCAAAAACTTCAATCATTCTTGATTTTATTTTAGTTTGTGCTGAACCTATTTCCCCCCTTTGTTTTTTTTATAAATTCTATAGCTCACAGAATAGTCCCTTAAATGAGAGTATTTAAGCTAGAGATAATATGGAGTTTTATTCTTAAGAGATTTGGATAAATACCACTATCTTAAGCCTTAAGTTTATATTACCAAAAGTAAGACTACTACTCCCTAGCCACTAACACACATCTCTTGAAGATTAAACATTTCCAGTCATGTGGTTTAATAAAATGTGCTTTTCTCTGCCAATTTAAATTTTCCCTAAAAAATAAAGTAAAAATCAAACTGTATTTCCACACATAGACTTCTCTTAAAATTAAGTATTTCTCAAAGATAGTGTTAAAACTTTAGCAAATCCATATTGTATTAAAAATTCAGTCTATAGTGGCTGGATTAAGCCTGAAGCATTACTCCAACATAAATGATGAGAAATTGATAAAAAAAAGTTGAAGAATTACTTTTGAAAGTAAACTACAACGGACAGACTCTCAGATCTATTCAACCAAGATTTCTATTTCCTCACAACATATTTTTTAAGTTTATTTGTTATTGTTGACATTATGATTCTCCTCAAAATTTTTTAACATAAAGACATTTAAGCTTTAGGTTACTTGAGAAGAAAAACAAATTCACTATCACTGGTTATGCCATTATACAGCTAAATGCCTACAACTGAACTAGCAGGTTCTCACATGCCACTGAACTCAAAAATCTGAATTACACAATGTTTCACAAGAACTACCTAGAATTATATTTCCAAATGCTCCCACTCTCCCTGTTATAATTACGTAAGCAAACTACTTCAATAGCAAGAATCTATTAATAGTTCATTCCTCTACTTCCTTCCCTACTTTTCCTGATTAACTGGTTATCCTCTGTAAAAACTTTTTTCCAATCACTTAAGTAAGTTCTATATATTCAATGCAGAAAATTTTACATAAGAAATCTTTAAAGTTTTATGTAAGAATTAGGTCCAAATATGGACATACACTAATATGCCAAGTTATTCTAGACTATTACATCTATCACACAGCATCTGTTCAGAATTTATATAAATGTTCCATAAGCTTTTTCTTCTTTTAGGGTATTTTGGTTTATTAATCTGGAAGCTTTATTTGCCACAACTTTGTAACTATGTCTTTGGGACAAAAGTTATTTATACAAAAGAGCTGCCACATTAAAAAAGTTTCTATATATACAGGTCATGAACCTGTATGCAACTAATCTTCACATTAGAAGATAGTTTAAATTACAAAAACCTCAATAATTTTTATCTTAATTTGTGCTACACAGTATTTTACCTTTTTTTTAAACTCCATTTTATAAATCCTATAGCTCCCTATATGGGAATCCAAACTTGTTCTCTATAAATATAGATACAGCTCAACTCGAAAAACTAGAACCTAACGGCAAAATAGTTCTAAGATCCCACTAACTAGTTAGCAGAGGAGAAAACCCAGTTCTGCAGGGTTGAATAAATTTCAGGTGACTAATACTTTTATTAGTTTTTCCCATCACATATAAATCCAATTTTCAGGGGGGGGAGGGTTTGGGGTGAAAACTCAGAATGTTTAACACTAAAAAGGATTAAGTTTTACATTGTATACTCTTGGTAAGAGGGAAGAATCGCTCAAACAGGTGTTACTGCTAGCACACTGTAAAGTGCATCAGAACTAGTCTCACAATACACTATGTTTGCTGACAAGAGAGATGGAAATCCTAAGAATCGATAACATTTGTAACAACTTTTTACAACACAGTGACTAGTAGGAAGAAAGTCACCCCGAAAGTGAGACTCATCCACAGGGAAAAAGAAAGAATGCTAATTAATATATACTCTTTGATCAGGAATGTAAATGGTTAATTACTCACGGGCCTTGCCTGGGGGCTCAAGTAAGGTTCAAAATCATCATCATTTAGTCCATCCTTTTGATGTACAGATCCATTTTGTACTAAAGGGAAAGAATTCAAATTAAGAACGTCTCAGTCATACACGCTCCCAACCCAAAGTAACCAAATATATCCCAACCAGAGGAGGGGGCGGGGGACCTTACTAAACAGAGCAATCACATTTGCGTTTCAAAAAGCGAAGGACGAGCATGAACGCTCAGCAGCATTTCGTCCATAAAAAACGTCTCCCTCCACCCAAAGCAAAGTGGATCCAAAAAGGTCATTTTATTGGCTCCTCTCGATTTCCCTGCCCTCCCGCCTCCCCCAACCCCCTCCACTCGGGTCACATGTGAGAGTTACTTCCCAGAGTGCGATCCACGAGGATGAAAAACAAAGGCCTTCTGAGACCTACAGGAAACGGAGGACCTGAGACATTTTTCAGAAACCGAGGCCACCCCCACCCTGGGTGAATAATTACTCCTTGTTCCGCCGAAAAAGCTGTTCGCCAGCTGCGAGAACACGCCGGGAGAAAAGGGTCCAACACGCGGGAGTGCGAGGCACCTGCGAACCCGGGGGCTTCCCTCCGAGAGGCCCGGCCCCGGCCCCGGCCCCGGCCCCGGCCCCGGCCGCTTCCCCGAGACCCGCCCCCCCAGGCCGCCCGGGCCCCCGCTCCGGGCCGCCGGCGGGCCGGGCGCTCCTCACCTTTGTTTCCTTGACCTTTGGGTCTCTGCGGGCGAAGGGAACGTCGCCGAACAGCAAGTTATCCGAGGGAGAAATGGAGGAGAGAGACACGTTAGAGCCGGGCGGGGAGAGGGAGAAAGGCGCAGGCCGCGGGGTCGGCGTCGGGAATGGAGGTGGAGGGGAAGGGAGCCTGGGACACGGGCGGCGGGGAGAGCGCGGGGCCGGCGGGGCCGGCGGGGCCGCGGGGGGAGGAAAAAGCGGGGGACGCGCCAGCCGCGACGCTACGGGGCCCCGCCGGCCTCAAGGCAGGGGAAGGGAACGAGGAAGGAAAGCGAGGCCCGCTGAGGAGGAAGGCGGCGCCGGCGCCGAGGAGGGCCGGGAGGAGCGGGAAGAGCGGGCCGAGGGCGAGGCGCAGGGCGCGGCCGGCCCGAGAGGCCCGAAACCCGGCCCGCGAGAGGCGCCGCCTCAGCTCGGCCCGGCCGGGGGCGAAGGGCCCGGGCCTGGTCGGGCTTCCCTCTCTCGCCTCACACACAATGGCCGAGGCATGCGGGCCGGGCCTGTACCTGCTCCAGGAGGCTGCTGGCCGACATGGCTCTCGGATCCTCGCGGGCGGCGGCGGCGGCGGGCTCTCCTCAGAGCGTCGGCGGCGGCGGATGAGCCCCAGCGGCGGGAGCAAGCGGCGCGGCGGCGGCTTTTGTCCCTGACACTCTGGGCCTCGGCGGACGCAGCGGAGACACAGCGCGCGGCTCCGGCTCCGGCTCCGACTCGGCGACGCTCTAGCCCGGGAGCTCAACGCCCGTCTCTATGGCTTGACGCGCGCGCCCGCCCCAGGCAGCCGGAGGGAGAGCGCCGGGCGGCGGAGGCGGACGGCGAGCGCGGCGCGGCGCTGACTCTCACATTCACTCACCCACGCGGAAGGGGCCCGGCGCGAGGCGCCTCGGGAAGGACGAGGCGGGGCCGCAGCGCCCTCTGGCGGGCTGGAGGAGCGGAAGCGGCGCGCGCGGGCGCGCGGCCTTCCCGCCCCCACCGCCTCGGGGTTGGGGCCTAGGAGGGTGGGGACCGCAGGGTCGTACCACGAGGTTTTTAACTTAATACCTGGAGGGAGTCACTTTAGCTGGAGAAGCCCCACAAAAACCTGCCTCTCAGGGAGGACCCACCCCTGAAGCCTGAGAGACCGTAAAATAAACCTGCTTCCCAGCTGCAGATGGCACCCCACCCCCGCCTGGGAGGAAACCCGAAGAGGGTCACAGAGCCCCCAAGGAAACTTCCTGTGGGCCCCGCCTCGGGAGGACTCCCCTCCTCGGGGGCCCGGCTAGTGAAAGAAAACGTGCCCAGAGAACAAGAACAAAAACATCCACCGAAATTTGGTTCCCTGCAAGAGAGTCACCATTTGGCATTGCAGGGAAGAAAATCGACACTTTTTTTTTTTTTTTTTTTTTTTTTAGAATCTAAAATTTTTTCTTAGGATAGTCACTGGCACCCGTAATCCGAGGGCCTTTGTTTCCAATGAAGTCAAACCTTACACATCTGCACAAAATTTTTTATGACTTTCAACGAGTCCGGAGAATCTATTAGCTCTATTAAGTCTATGGGCTTCAAAAGGAAGTGTCCTGCCCTGGCCCGGGAGCTCCATTAGTTGGAGCGTCGTCCCGCTAAGCCTAAGCCGGGGCTGTTGCTGGTCCCTTTGGGTGGGCAGGCACCTGCAGGGTCTGCTGGTGAGTGCATGGGCAAGTGGAACCACGGACCTCGTCCCCTTCCCCTCCCCTTCTCCCCTCCCCCTCTCCCTGCCTTCCCTCTCTAAAATCAATTAAAAAAAGAAAATGTCCTTATCTATTGGAGGAAGGAGGAAAAAAGGAAATTAATGCTACTTGAATACCTGCTCTATGTTAGGTTTTGTTAAGTGTTTTCAAAGCCTTAACAAAGGCTTTCAGCATCTTCAAAATAACTCCATTTTACAAAGGCGAGGGGGGGGGGGGCGGGGCTGGGGGCAGATGGGGCAGGGGAGTAGAGAAGTTAATTTATGTGTCCAAAGTCACAAAGCTATTTTTTTAATATATTTTATTGATTTTTACAGAGAGGAAGGGAGAGAGATAGAGAGTTAGAAACATCGATGAGAGAGAGAGTCATTGATCAGCCGCCTCTTGCACAACCCCCACCAGGGATGTGCCCGCAACCAAGGCACATGCCTCTGACCGGAATCGAACCTGGGACTTTTCAGTTCCCAAGCCGACCCTCTATCCATTGAGCCAAACCGGCTTCGGCCAAAATCACAAAGCTATTAAATAGGTGTGTATCTGACACCAAGAAGAACATAATAGTGTCAGAAATCCTGTATTCAAGAATCAGAATCCAGAGGCGATCAAAGGATGGGCAAAAGCATTTTTAGTCAGAGGCAAACCCAACTCATGCAGGGATATTTGATCCTAGGATAGCCCAATAGCTTTTGGTTTTGCAAATAGTAGTAAACAGATAAATAATGCACTACTAAGTGTCAACCTGATACCATTCACACCCTGGATACTGGAGGCTTTGGTGGACTCAGTAGTAAAATAAATGATGACGTATTGGATTTTGCATCATAATTACGCTCCCAGTACTCAATTTGTTTTCTTTCTGCCTTTAACCGCATTTATGGTTGGAATAAATAAGGTCAGACACCACATGTGATGGACTTCTGGAAAAGACAATAAAATGTCAAGTCGCAGAGCATAGTTCCCACCAAGGGAATGAAAGAAACCCAGGAGCCCTCTTTTAAAGCTACTCAGCCAGATTTATGAATAAACTATAAGCAGTTGCCTACACTTATCAGCATAGTTAAAGGAAGATTGATAGGGAGTCAAACCTGGGAGGGGGAGGGACTATCGAATAGATACTGGTTCCCCCACCAGATTTGCAACATCTGGTAAATTACTAAACCTTTCAGAGATTTCCTCATTTGATAAAGGGGATAATATCTCCTTAAAAGGCTGGTTGTGAAGATAAAGTTTTTTTTTAAAAAAAAGACATTAAAGCAAGTCTAGTACCTTGTAGATTCCTATAATTCCATTAAGGCTTGGTCGTGAAGATTCCCTCCTCCCAATGATATCTTCCTGGTGCCTGAAATTATTAGTTCCTTTGGGATTACTTACCGTCACCTGGGAGTTCCCAGTTAAAATGCAAATATTCTTGGAGAGAAGGGTAATCCCTCAACCTGGATTTTAGTTCAACCAGATTGGTTGTGATAGGCCCCTGAACAGAACACACAAGTCTAATGTATTTAATTACTGCGAAGAGGGAGTGGAAGTCTGGAGGGAGGGGTGTCATTTTATGTGACAGACCCCTCATGGTTCATGGGTCTGTGTTCCAGTGGCAGCTTTGCAACTGGGTAGATGAAGCATTCAATCCTTCTTTCAAGCAGTATTTATTGAGGGCCAGGCCATGAGCAGGACAGAATACCTGAAGAGTTTACTTTTCTTGAAGCGTCTAGACTAGTCAGGGAAACCGACTGTCAGCAAATAGTTATTCAGTTAAAGTTGCACAAAGTGCGAGGAGAAAGCACAGAGGAACCTGGCCTGGGGGTGTGAGGGACAAAGGAGGTTTTCCCTGAGGCGGTGAGCTTCAGCTAAAGCCTGAAGGATAACGAGAAATTAAGCAGACAATGAGAGGAGGGAGTGGGGAACAATAGCGCAAAGGCCCCAAGCAGGGAAAGTGTTTGGCGCAGGTGAGGAACTGACAGAAGGCCAGAATGACTGATACATAATGAGAGAGAGGGTGGCACCAGATAAACTGGAGAACTGGACAGAAAGGAGAAATACAGGAACTTAAGATGTTGGCTACAAATGATCAGCTGGTAAAAGGTTTATAGCATTCTCAGGTTTATGTTTTGTTGTGCGTGTTTTTAAAATATATTTTATTGATTTTTTACAGAGAAGGAGGGAGAGGGAGAGTTAGAAACATCGATGAGAGAGAATCATCGATCAGCTGCCTCCTGCACACCCCCTTACTGAGAATGTGCCAGCAACCAAGGTACATTCATGCCCTTGACTGGAATCGAACCTGGGTCCCTACAGTCTGCAGGCTGATGCTCTATCTACTGAGCCAAACCAGTTAGGAGTCAGGTTTATGTTTTAAGATGATGTTAACTCTCTTTAATTCTGATTTCAGTGTGGGAAATAGATTTAGGGAGAAAAGATATTAGGAATTAAAAGAGCATTGCAGTAAGTCCAGGCAAAAGATATGGTACAGCCCTGGCTGGTTTTGCTCAGTGAAATAGAGCGTCAGCCTGCGGATTGAAGGGTCCTGGGTTCAATTCTGGTCAAGGGCACATGCGAAGGGCTGCGGGCTCTATCCTTACTAGGGGGTGTGCAGGACTGATGATTGATGATTCTCTCTCATGATTGATCTTTCTATCTCTAGCTCTCTCTCCCTTCCTCTCTGAAATCAATAAAAATATATTTTTAAAAAGATATGGTATATAGCCAAAACCGGTTTAGCTCAGTGGATAAGAGTGTCAGTCTGGGGACTGAAGGGTCCCAGGTTCGATTCTGGTCAAGGGCATGTACATTGGTTGTGGGCACATCCCCTGTGGGGGCTGTGCAGGAGGCAGCTGGTCGATGTATCTCTCTCATCGATGTTTCTAGCTCTCTATCCCTCTCCCTTCTTCTCTGTGAAAAATTAATAAAATATATTTTTTTAAAAAGATATGGAATATCGTTTCTTGGCCTTTTGGCTAAGATCAAATGTAGTATCTGTTCTTATCAGTTTAATATCTGATACGTCCTCTATCCATGGTCAATATATTAAACTAGTAGCCCTGTGCACAAATCCGTGAGCCAGTAGCTCTCTGTGGGGCGAGGCTGCTCAGAGGCCCATCCGCCGCCAGGCGTAGAACGCTTGCCTTGTCACCTTGTCACCGCAGCAACGAAGCAAGCACTCTGCCAGGCTGCTCATGCTGCCTGCTGCCAGTGTCCCCTTCCCCGCCCAGGACTGGGGGACTCCAGTGGGCCTGAGAGGACTGGGTGCCATCATCTTTGTGACTGAGTGATGGATAATTTGCATATTACCCTTTTATTAGATAAAATGGATTTTTAAAAAATATATTTTATTGATTTTTTTACAGAGAAAGAGAGATAGTTATAAACATCGACGAGAGAGAGACATCGACCAGCTGCCTCTTGCACACTCCCCACTGGGGATGTGCCGGCAACCAAGGCACATGCCCTTGTCCAGAATCAAACCCGGGACCCTTCAGTCCGCAGGCCAACGCTCTATCCACTGAGCCAAACTGGTTTCTGCTAGATAGGATGGATTTTTTAAGCTAGGAGTTGGAATAGGAGGGGAAAAAAGACATGGTATAATATAATGGCAGTGAAGGCAGTGAGAAATGGGCATTTTAGGAGGTAAAATTAGAGGTTTTGTTGATTGATTGAATTTGAAGGAAGGCATTAAAGGAGGAACGGGTATCAAGGATAATATCTCATTTTCACCTGAGGACATGCTTAGAGAGAGGAGGGTAAGAGAAAAAAACATACGTGTTGTTTGTGATCAAACCCAGATACATGCCCTGACTGGGAATTGACCTGGCACAAGACAATGCTTAACCAACTGAGCCACTCCAGCCGCCTGATGGCACCTGATTTGATTTGAGTAATTGGGTGGATGAGGTTTCAGTCTAATGTCAGCGGGAATACTGGAAGAGATTTGTAAGGGTGGAGGAAGACTATAAATTTATTTTTGGATACTCTGGGCTTCAAGGAAAAGATAAAACATCAGATAGAAATGTTCTGTAGACAAAGAGTTTGGAGCATAGAAAGAAAAACAGGGCTTAGATAGCCTGATGGATGATTCTCTCTCATCATTGATGTTTCTATCTCTAGCTCTCTCTCCCTGTCCTAGCTCTCTCTCCCTGTCCCTTCCTCTCTGAAATCAACAAAAATGGAGATTTGGGGATAGTGATGCTAGTTGAAGCCAAAGGAGTCTATGATAGATTTCCTCAGAAGAGGAAGAGAACAAAAGGCCCAGCACCAAACCAGACGGATATAAGGGGGAACAGAGATAGTAAATAATTTCCTCACTCAGGCTATTTCCAAGACTTTGTAAAGTAAGAAAGTTAGACCAAAATAACGTCTCAGTTTCCTTCTAGCTTTGCCATTTTAGACTTCTGGAGGGTGGAAGCGAAAGAGCCCTTTCTGGATATATAAAGGGGGCAGTGAAAATAAGAGAGAGAAAAGAAGTGGAATAGGAGGACAGATTTTACATGCTAGTAGTCTTAAGGAACAGCAG